GATCGTTATCAGACTTCTGCAGAGCTTGATGATGAGCTGATCATTTGAATCAGGTGTGTTGGAAGAGGGAAACATCTAAAACATGCAGGATTGCGGCCCTCGAGGACCAGGATTGGACACCCCTGCTCTAAACACTAAGTATAAGGATACGACCACACCAGTGTGTTGGCATTTTAACATGTGCAACCTCTGCTATGTCTTTTTTCCTTGGAGTCCACAAAAAAACAAGACTTCTGAACATTTACTCACCCTTTTCAGCTTAATAACTTCAGCCTGGATGACACCCGTTTCTCCTCTCCGATTGGTCACTAGATGTCGGTCGCTGATTCTTCTCGCCTCTGTTATGTGACCATTTTCTGCAAGAAAACAAAGACGTCAGACTCGAGCACCGGTGCTTAATTCAACATGGATAATGAATTACAGGCGTTGCTGTGCAGTTGAGGAAAACTCCCGTCCTTTCACCCGCGTGTCCAGTGTGCGTGAATGTACGTGTGATATACCTTTTCAGGCGTATTAGCATGCGTGGAGTTTGTTCAGATCATTTTTTTTACTGTATAAAATCGTATTAGTGCGGCTGCAGTAGCCTCGGCTCCCGTCGCTGTGAAGACGAAGCGAGTCAGAGGTGCGAATCAGATCAGTGGCACATTTGAAGTGTTTCATCATTGCACTTGAGAACAGAGCCGTTGTCGTTAAGTTCTCACCTTTTTTTTTTTTCATGTACATACGTTTTTTTTTTTTTCTACCTTTGACTTCATATCAAGGAAACAGACATTTTCTTTACTCTCGTACCCAGGAGAGTTTTATGTCAATCCAAATGGTAGAAACAATCCAGCTATGAGTCATATAATGACTTTTATTTCCAGAACCTGGGGTGGGGGGGCACCTGAAATACCTCCTTCATCTTGGCAACGTGACACGACAGTAATATAACCGTGTGTCTCTTTGTTTGTTTTGACTTTTTAATCCTCCCCTTGTGGCCGAAAAAACCATCAGTGGAGCTTTAATGAACTGGGATTAGAGAATCTTTGACATCTAGTGTTTAAAATTGACTGAACTAATCACAGCAGGATATAATTTTGTAATTAGGGGTTGAATGATTATCAGGCTGGTCTGTTAGTTGTTATCGATATTCAGCATTTTTACTTGCCTTCGCCATAAGTCAGCTGGGATAGGCTCCTAGTGAGGATTAAGCGGTGTATAGATAATGGATGGATGGATGGATGGATGATTTCCGATTAAATGAAATAATTTTATAACGCTCTGAAGCAGCCACTTCTCTCCATCTATAGTCCATCAGTCCTGTCTGATTGGTTACATGCCATGAGTAACAGCCAATCAACACTGAAGGCTCACTGTTGAAAAGTTCTTTATGATTAAACATAAAGCAAAACACGAATAAACTGAAGCGTTTCAACACGGTTTTGTGTTTCCACTTTTACTGCACGTGTGTGTACGTTGTTTCCAAACATCGGTTGATCACGACTCCTTGATTACTAATAACCGATATCGACCCCGAAGTCGACCCCATCTGGCGTAAACGATCCAAAATAAACAAACGGCGGGTTTTTATTTTCAATTTGTCTTGAGACGGGGAGGCTCAGCAGCTGCTAGTTTAGCCGTCCGCTCCGTCTAACCGGCAGATAGTCGATCGCAGGAGCTTGTCTCAACCAGATGAATGAAGGCAGGGCCAATTAATTACATGGTTCTAATGACTGGGCTCTTTTGGGCCAACTGGGTGCATAGAGGAGGTTGTCATGGTAACAGAGAAATAGGTTTGAAATGCGTCGTGAATGTGCCGAGCCTAGTTCCCGGTTATTAAGGTAGGCCGGAGTATTTTAAATATCAGGATTATTGGTGTGGTAAACAAGTATTTATGCCCGCTGAGAAGCTCTGTTCTGTAATTAACTGCCAGTTTTTCTGTGCCACGTTTCCTGCTGAGGATTTGACACCCGTAAACATGTTATCTCACAAAAGTGCTGGAGATAAGGCTGTAGCCTAACATCAAAGACCTGTGGGGTTTTATTTTACTTTTTCTGCCAACATGTATGGATATTAGCGAGGAATATGAATTTTGGGGGTTGCTTTTTTCTTTTTTTTTAATCTCCTGTGGGAATCATATCTAGCACTCATTGTAATTGTTTCCTTATGTTTTCCCTCTGGGTACGAAATGGTTGGAAGCCGTGGTTTTGGAAACGCAATAAGCTTGTCCAACTCCTGTTTCAGCCCTGCCTCTGGGGCTTGTTTTGCCCATAAATTAGTGATTAACTCAAACTGCTCCAAAACAATGAGGTCTCTGCTCTAATCTTGGGGGGGGGAAATGGCTTCGAGTGTGACCACGGGAAAAAGATTAGCCAGTTTAAAGTGGTAGAAAGCACTGAGTGGGATCGCATGTGGGTGGAATAAAGGTTATGAAAGACCATACATGTGTATATTTATCTACATATCACGGCATGATTGAAACAAAAGCACTGTTTTATCCCTCCAGATTATATTCGTGCTAATATTTATAGGAAAAAAAAATCTTTAAGGCACACATAATAACTTCGGCCTAGTGGTGATTGAGTTTATTATTGCCCCCCCCTCAGCTCTTTCTCTCCCCAGCATGGAGGGAGGAAATCAGGATTAGGTGTTTCCTCTGAAAGTGTGCCAGTTTCGCTCGGTGCCATAACAGTTGAGCAGCACGTTCAATGTGTAGAAGCGAGAAAACGTTCTCTGGATGCATCACCGTCGTCGTGCTCGTTTTTTAAAGGAAGAATAAATACACAAGCGAGCTTTTCAGCCCCGTCCGACACGCTTCAATCATCCCTGTCTTGATGTGAGTCGGTGGGTGAAATGCTAAAAGGTCAAAGAATGTTTAAGCACTGCACGGTGGCCTCGGCCAAGGCTGCTCGCGGAAAAGTGGCTGCTGTTATTTTCTGTGCTGTTTTTCCGTCTGCCTCTGCGCTCTCTGTCAGGGCTGTGAGGGGAGAAGCAGCGTGCAGTCTGCAGGTTCAGGGTGATTAAGTGCTTAAGGTCAGACTGCTAATTATCTCCCTGCCATTCCTTACCTCGCAACACATCGCTGCCATTTCCCCGTTGTCATGTGAACAGCCTCGTATTTGTTTTCTTATCTTTTATTTTACAGCGCGGGATTTCTTTTTTTTTTTTTTTGTCGGGAAACAAGACAAGTGTAAAGTCGTCTCTTCACCAATTCTCAAAAGATCATTAAAACATTTTGCCACCAAATTAAACAGACAAGCCACCATTTTGCTGGTAATCCTCTACGGCCGAGCGGCGCTTGTGATCCCTCGTCGCAGGTTGCAAAATGTAAATGAGCCGTCACCACTTCCAAGTCTCAGATTGTTTTACTTCACTTTTTTTTAGAGATCTGAAGGCTTTCTTTTTCCTTCGTTCCTTTCTTGTTAATAATCTCACGACCGCCGTGATTCATATTTTGACCCCTTCAGGGTCGGAGCCACTATGATAAGCTGTAGCTTCTTTTGGTAATGACTTCCAGTTTGTAGCATTTCTTCTGCTTTAAATAGTGGCTGCATTAATGAAAAAAAATACAATCTCATCTCCTCAAGGCAGCAGGGACTGATAACAGGAATCAGACATCTGCTATGTGAGAATATTTCCTGATTTCTGCATTTTTCAAATCCTTAAATGTAACCATTGTAGCCTGATAATAAGATTGGAAGTGAAGCTGGTTTCACTTTTCTTGTTGGTTGAAGGACAGAACAAAGTGACTAATGCACTGCTATTTTTAAGTGAAGCCTTTCTAATTCAAACGTTTTGGAGTGACCTCTTAGGACGCCCGCGGAGCCCCACGGAAGAGACACTTCATGCCCATCATCGGCTATCGCTTTCACTAATATGTATAAGCCCTCGCGTTGAGAGTTTGGGCCGATACAACAGCCTCTACGCAGCAGGCTTTTGCCTAGTTGGCAGCTTCAGAGGGAAACTTCGAGCTATCGCAGCGCCGGATTGTTATAAACGAACCACACATTTTAGGTAATATCTGACTTGGGTGTTCTTTTTTTGGAAACAAGTGGATATTGTGGAAAGATGGCTTCAGGATACGCTTTCATTACCGCTACCACATGCTTTGGAAATCACTGATTGGTAAACAAGACTGTGTTGTGCTCAAGTTTACAGCCATTTAACACCACTGATTGGTATTAAAGTCCTCAAGATTGAAACAGCTGTAATTTATATCGTGCTGTTCTTCACTTGTTTCTGTCACCTAAAATGATCTCTCCTCCCCCCCTCATCCTTTTTCTTTTTTTTTTTTATGCATATGTCACACAGTAGCCGTCTTCAGATGATAAATCTGTGAATGCAGCGTGCCTATTTGCTAATGAGGTTTCCATAGTGCCACATTAAGGCAGCCACAGTGGGAAGTGCAGCTGTGTTGTGTCTCCATAGCTCTGACAGGGCTGTAATCTCTGGACTAACAATATCAGACACCCTGTGAAGACGTGTTAGCATTCAGAGTGTTTGAAGTGTTTGTGGAGCGGCGAGCCAATCGCAGCGTGCAGGCCTCGGCGCTGACATTTTACTCAACCAGAAATGCCTGTCTTTGATTTGTTTTGCCAAATTAGCAATCTTTGGCAATTGAGCAGCGTTACCAAAGGCAGGAAATGGGCAGATTTTGTGCTGTGGTAAAAGAGTTATTACATTTTTAAAGCTCCTTTTCAGGTGGATCCTCTTGTTCTTCTCTTTTCTGCACATGAATATTGTGTTTTTAGCCAAAAGCCAGAAACTGTTATTGCAGCTGGTTTTTCCTGTTACCGCTTTCTCCTTGACTCGTATATTATGGGAAAGCAGAGAAGAGAGCGCTCACATCTTGATGTTGTATACAGTACAAACACCTCTCCAACATCCCAGATGTCATTGTTTTCTATAGCAGCGCTACACTGTGATACATAATAAGCAGTGTTTTGCTTTGTTGTATTTCTCTGCAGAATTCATTCATGCTCCTGGCACCATGGTGCTGTTCCTTCTGCTCCGCTGGGAGATTGTTGGATGGATTGAACACTCCACCTTACCTCTTTCCTCCATTTTAAACACCCAATTTATTTCTTTCATGAGATGGATCTTGTAGATTGACTCATTTTCACAGTCGGGAGGCTCACTGTAGGCCTGAAATGAAATGAACTCCCAAATCAATTTCAAATGGGAACAACGAGCGAGCTCTCCCCTGCATAGCTGGAATTGGTTTTGTTATTGAAAATGAAATGAAGTGTTTTTATTTTTTGCCCCTTATTGCAGATTACAGCCGTGTTCTTTTGCCTGCTGTGATTTCCAGCCGGCTTACGGCGTGATCCAGGTTAATTTCAGCAGCTTTTCTTTTTATGTCAGAAATTCCATAAAAGTGTCGCTCTGAAAGGTGGCGGTAATTTCTACCAGGTGATTTATTGTTTTTAAATGGGCCGCCTTTTTCCACCTTTTCCGTAGTCGCTGGGAGTTAAGCAGCCATGAAATTGCCTGAATAATAGTGTTTAAATCCAATCTTAGTTTGTCCCGTCAGCTTTCCCCGCACACAATTCAATCAGCGGCGCTCTTGATGATTGCTCTTTTTTTTTTTTCCATCAGCATCAACTTTTCCTTCACAGTTTAGGCTCCAGGCTTTTACAGTAGAATCGGCTCAAGTTTATAAAAGCATAAAGTGGAACAAAATTTCACGGGCAGGAGATGGTGCTGCTTGGGTGATTGCAGAGTTATTGAGAAACAACAACAACATAAAAATGAGGTGTGAATCAGCTAATCAGAGTTTTAACATATAGGAAAATTGTCAAACATTTATAGGTCATCTTTATTTAATTAGTCTTCTTAAAATCATCATCTTATTTGTTAAAATTCAACTTTAAAAGGGCAATTTTTGAAACTTGAAGTGGCTTAATGGCCCACATGGCAGGAAAAGAAGCTCTTCTATCCTCTCCTGTTGCTACTTGTCATCTTTTTAAACTAATTCTGGGTCAAACCAAGTCTGTATTAATGCCTGAAGGTGTTTCCTCCCTTTTTAAACTATAAGGCCGGTTGATGTCCACCATTATCCTCTTACAGGTTTGAGACTGTAAATGTGAAAAATAAAAACTACTGCTTGTTTTCTAACCACTTCCTCCGTCCTCTCTCTTCCCAGGCGAGCCGGCCTCCGTGATTTCTCGGTACCCGTCTCCTGCAGAGTTGGACGCTTTCGCCCAGAAAACCGCCAACAGCCCCCTGTCCATCAAAATCTTCCCGTCAGATGTCCGGGTGCCGCAACACAAACAGCTCAACAAAACGGTGAACGGCTTAGACACCACGGGCCAACGCTACAGCCCCTATTCACACCCGTACTCAGGAGGCTACCAGGGCTTGCTGGCCATCGTCAAAGCCTCGGTGGTGGTGAAAGGTGTGGTGAAAACCTCGGAGGGCAGGAGGACTAAACATGCAAACAGCCAGACTTCTGTGGCACCGTATAATAATCCCCTGAATAATGGCTACACAGTCAGACACGGGCACAAGGCCTATCGTATAAGCTCATGTAAGCCCCCTGATGTACCCATTGAGACACTTTGTTCTAGCGCAGGGATAGCCTCCGGAGATCAGAGCCTGGCCCCCCAGTCTGAGCTGGCAGAGGTTCAAAGCCTGATGAGGCAGATGAGCAGAGTTCCCCACAGCCAGGCCCTGCAGCTGGGTGGAGAGGCCCGGTCCAGCCCCTCCCTGCAGGCTGTGGCTGCTGTGGCACATTCAGACTCAGACTTTGTCCTGGGAGTGCCGCCCCAAAGCAGTCTGCCTTTCGCGGGGGCAGTGCTGCCGACACAGAGCGCAGACATAGCCAAAGCCGGATACTTGGAGAAGAGAGACTACACAGTGTGGCAGCACAAAGCTCAAATGCAGCAGCAGCAGCAGCAGCAGCAGCAGCAGCAGTCCTATCAGCAGGGAGCAGTGAGGATGTACAGTGTGAGTAACAGCGCTCAGGGGCACAGAGCAGCAGAGGCCGGGGTTGGCCAATCTCCCGAAACCTGCATCCCTTTGGCGTGCTCCTCGCAGCTGCCGTACAGGCCGCATCCCGGCAGCGTGGGCGCCGGGCAGGAGCGAGTCAGCGGCTCGTCTCTGAACTGCGCCGCCATGCAGGGGGAGCTCTCGGTCGGACAGTACTTCGCTCCTCTCTGGGACAGCGTCGCGGCAACTCCCAACGCTGACTGTTATACCTCTCAGGTGCTGGCAACGGGTACATGTGCAGCCAGGCCGAGAGACATGGGGCTCTCACATCCCCACCTCCACCCAAACCGCCACCAACACCAACACCAACACCACCACCATCATCCACAGCATCACCAGCCACAGCTCCACCCTCATCCTCATCCTCTTCCTCCTCCTCCACATACCCAGGCCTACAGCACAGACCAAAACCTCTGTTGCGGGCTGCCTACTTCTAGCCTGTGCCACGCTGCAGTACTCAGCAGCAGCCTGCAGTCTCTGGAGTGCCTCATCAGTGAGATCCACCCTCCCTGCATCAAAGAGCGTATGCTGGGCCGTGGGTACGAAGCCATGGGGATGCCTCAGCTGCTGGAGCACCAACAACAAACCCACATCCAGCTTCCCGTCTACAGATAAGACAAGGTGCTGCCACCCGACGGGGACGTCACAAACCTTTTATAAACGATGGGAGTTGTGCGAGGACGAGACATGCCTTCTTTTTTTTTTTTGTTCTTTGTGCATGTACTGTATTTGTAGAAGGCTTAGTGTTGTAAGCCTGAGAAAGGTAAATGATAATCATGACTTAAGATACAGGTTTATCCAACGGACTTTTCACGTGTTTATTTTTGTACCCTAAATGGCCATCAAACATTTAATACCGAGCACCGATTACATCCGCTGTATGATTTGCAGGTGATTACTCTGTAAAGGCCTTTTGACGACAACAACGGAAACACACCGAACTGAAATAATCACCCCTCTGAAAATACATGTACTTGAATCTGGGAAGGATCTCTGGTAACAGTTTTTGTGAATATACTGTATATTTTTACATAAAAATCGCTTCTTATCGGAGAGGGAACATTCTTCCACTATTACCTGAGCTTTTAACTGCTTTGTTGTGGATTTTTTTTTACTGTTTTCCCCCCATTTTTTTTCATTGACTCCTCTGTTACCAGCCTGTACGGAGGAATATTTCAATCATTTGCTTATAAATGTGAATATTTTTTGTTATGCAGCCACAGACGAAAAAGTTGTGTAATTTAACACGTTAAATGATTTCATGTAGTCAACCTATTAGGACTGTTGCATATTCAAATCAACACTGTGGCATTCAGGCCAAGTAAGACGTGCCCTTTTTTTTGGTTGTATTTTTAACATTTATAAACTTTTAAGAGGTTGTGTGGACGTTTTTTTTTTGTTTTTTTTTGGGAAGCAGCACATGTAATAACGGATGTTGAAAAGCAGGCCGCCTGAATCATTTACAGTGTCTTCTTTGTAGGGCTATATTATCTCTGAAGGCTTGAGACGTGTGACTGAGTAGCTCTTTGTGTGTCTGCACTGGTTCCGTGATACTATTTATTTATGTCGGCCTGTTGAGTTCTACGGCAAACTGTCTATAATTATAAAGTGCAATTATTATATATGAATATGTGAGCGCTCTTCATGAGTTTTGTTGATGAAACTTTTTTTTTTTGCAATGTACAACCCTCCCTCACCTCCCTTTTTTTTTTTGCCTCTTCTTAATAAGGATTGTCAAGTAAATTAAATTTTCTAAACCCAGCAAATACTGTGTTATTACCTATTAATAGCTATTATTTGGCAAACATGCAGCCTTTATTATATTCATGAATGATGAACTAGTGGTGGAAAGCGGAGACATTTTTCTGGCTTTATTGCAAAGGGATTTAAGGCTTAACCACCAGCCAGGTCCTCTTTTTTTCTTCTCATTTTTTTATTAAGATCCATCTTTTCACCGAAGGATTTCAGCGTTATAATATGATGTAAGTCAATCCTTAGCTGAAACGCGTTGGACTGGTTCTTTTATAAATGATGCAAACTGAAAGCGCTAATTTTGTTATCGCTGTGAATTACGTTAAGCTCCGAGCAGAAGCCGGCGAATACTTCAGGATACACGCGTGTAAATGAAAATGCGCGGGCCTTCCTTCTCCCACCGATATTACATTTTGATATAAAAAATGCATGCTTTCATGAAGATAAATTCACAAGAATATTACTGTTCACATTATTTAGAGATGGCCTGGCTATTGAATTGCTAATCAGAGATGATGTGCCTGCCTGCCTTTCCTATTTTCCTACATTTGTCCTCCTAAATTGGATGCTTTAGCCGCATCCATAGCCACTTTAAGCAGCCCTATTATAAAACAAATAACCCAGATAGTGTGAATAATGGCATTAGATGCGCATTTGGGAGCAAAACCGCAATATTGAATTGATGACCTCATTGCAGATAACAAATATGTCAGAGTTAAAGGTCGGCGGCTTTGTCATTGAGGCATTGTTGCAAATGATTTCCGGTGTTTAGCGTGTTGGGTCCTGGCTTTGCTCGGAGCTCTTCCATCCTATCAGGCGGGACTGCTGATAAACATACAGGATTACGGACATGCTCCTCTCGCTCTTGCTCAGAGACGATTAGCTCAAGCCGGGCTCCTCTGGGAGAGGAACCAGAGCCACTCCGGCCTCTGGGACACACTTCAGATAAGTCAGACTGGGCAGAGGAGGAGGACGCTTGATTGGGAGGATTAGGATACATGGAGAAACGAGATTTCCCCTTAATTTGCTGCAGCTTGCAGGGGAAAAAAATGTGTTTAAAATTGACTGTATTAACAATTTCACCAGCAATCCTCCTATAAAAATAGTTTTTCTGGGCAACTGAGGAGACTTTGAGGAAGCTGCTCTTGCAGAATTGAAGAAACCATCAGTCAGAAGCGAGTTATTTAAGCTGTCGATCATCTTTAGATTGTTATCACTGGACATCATTTCAAATCTTTCACAGCAGCGCCACACAAACGTGATTGAGAGAGAGACGAAAACAAGCAAACATCGCCACCTAGTGTAAGATTGATCAACTGAGTTTGATTTTAATGGTGTGAGTTTTAGGATTAAGATCTTGGAGGAAACAAATGTCAACACAAACGATTATCCAGAAGCAAACAGCTCATCAGTAGCCATGGAAATAAATATGCCTCCAGTCAGGGAGGTAATCAACAGATGTGACTCGCTGCCTGTTCGGATACAATAGTTACACAACACAAAGCAATCGCACCTGAACCACACCTTCCTGTTTAAACACACAAACTCCACACAGTTAAAAGCCCTCAAAGGAAAAAATAACAATTCCAGTTCTACCTACTCTGCAAATACATTAGCACTGTGCGTTTATTCAGTAACACCAAGGCACTCGGTGGATATTTAAAAGCTGAAATGAGCTGCTAAAGTGTAAAACTTCTGCTGGGGCTGCTGCTCCCAGTTCAACGGTGGAACCAACTCCACGGCTCAGGAGGCAGAAAACATCTGAATGTGACAAAATGACCAGGAAATGCTGCCCTGTGATAACAGTGTTTTCAGTCTTGTATTGCTCTCTCGATGGAATAATAATAATAATATCATAAATGAATCGACAACCCACACATGAACATAACCCCGTCTGAGAGCGACAGCATGTTGCTGTCACAATCCTGCAGTTACCTGAAATTAAATTATATTAAAACAAAACCACTTCAGCTGCAACTTCACTTGAAATTTAAGGCATTCGCTTCATTTTAAGACCAAATATACAGTTTTATTATTTAGTAAGGCGTAATTAAAGTAATAAATACCACACTGAGAGGAAAAAAAATTAAACAATCCTGTTAAAAACACCTGGACTTGGTGCGTCACCTCCAGTCCAGGCATTCCCTGAGTCTTCAAACAGTGTAGTCCAGCTCTGCGTTTAGATTCGCGTACATCTCGTAGATGGCGTCCACGGTGGCGGTGTAGTTCACCAGGAACTGACGCACGTTCGCCAGACAGTCCTCCTCTTTCACTTCCTCTCCCTTGGACAGAGCCTTGAGGAAGTTGGATTTGTAGGGAGCTGCGATTAACGCTGCCTGTGAGGGACAAAAAGGGGGAAAAAGTCAATTTCTATTAGGTAGAAGTGTCAAATCAAATCAAGTTTAGTGTCATTTTGGTGCACATAGATGAGAGAGAGTTTCTTCAGCAATCAAATAATAACTAAAAGCAATTAAATAAAGAGTCGTGTGCATATCCGGATCAGCGTTCTGACAGCTCGTGGACTGAAGCTGTTGATTCTGTGGCGGCAAAATGAGAGAAATCTTGAAAACACATGGCATGGACGTAAACGTTCCAGTTCCTGGTGGGCAACATCGTATAAAAACACCTTATCTGAGGTGATCGATTACACTCATTTCGTCCACTCTCTCTGTTATTTCTTCCTTACGGTGAAAATCTTCTGAACAACCCAGCCGTGGTATTTCTTCAGCGCCTGCTCGTACGCCTTGGTGACGTTGACCTTTATCAGGTTGGGGTTGTTCTCGTCTTTTTCCCCATCCGCCAAACTCTGCAGCAGGATCTGGATGAAACGGAGACCCCTGCAGGAGAGAGAGAGAGCATTCAAGAACAACTCAAAAGTTCAAGGTACAATGAACCTTGAGTTTAACAGCTCACCTCTTCAGCCACATCAGAGCTAAAGTGGCTCCGACTTTGGGCCACACTACCTCGTGTTCCTCCCGCTCGGCCTCCAGGATGTCCTGCAGGGTGACGTACTTGGCCGGGTTCTTGTTGTACACGGCTGTAATTTTCTGAAAAATGCACATTTGGGTTGAGTTTGCATGGGGAGGCTCCAGCGTTTAAGCCCCTGGTTTGCATTTAAATCATCGGCACTGACAAGAGCCAGAGCCTGGTGTTGTGTCTTACCACTATGTTGCCATTAATGTCTGATTTGATGACCGAGAACACTTTTGACCCCAAGCAGTCTGGAAGGCAAACAAGACATTTGAGAGGGAAGCAATAAAATATGAATGACTTCATCACACATGGCTGAGAGGGGAGGATGAAAAAGGCTTTAACAGAGACAGAGGCGGGCAAAACTAAAGAAAAATGCAGTGAATGCATAGTAAAGAGTCACAATGAGGTCAATGTGTGCTCTGTTCACAGATAAACAAAGAGTTGCTCTATAGGCGCAGCTGCCTCTGATCCCCGACAGCTCCGTGTGAAATCAATAACTAGCCGCTCACATGGCGATCAGACATTTGAAACGATGAGAAACAAGTTTCAACCGTGACAGTTTTTTAAAAATATATTCAGGTTTTACACTCACCGAAGAACGAAGGCAGATGAGCGACCGCTTCCAGGAAAGTCTTCGTGTCCACAGACTTGTCCGGCGGCAGTTCTTTAAACTGGTTGTCCAGTAAAAGCGACATGATCCTACGATTATTTAAAAAAAAAAAAAAAAAAAGTGCCACTACTAGCAGCAGCAGCAGCAACGAGCAGCTCGCGGCTGTGAAGAACCCGGAACTGAGCTCTTGTCAGATGGGTGGGGAAGCGCCACCGGCCGCCCCGATCGCTCTCCGTCCTCCTCCTCTTCCTCCAACAGGTGGGAAATAATGCATGTCGAAAGCAAAACGAGACGCCGAGCAGGTGGAGGTACGAGTTATACTTTATTAGAGCTAAGGCAGGGATTGTTGTCAACCACAGAGGCTCCGAGTTACAGGAAAGTAAAAGTCAGGTTTGACACCAGGCTGGTTAGTGACTGAATACGAGCACTTTTATTATCCTTAAAAAGGTTTTAAAAAAAGAATCTATAATGTTAGAATAATGTGGTATTGTAGGTTAATTAAATGGCTTTGTACTGTATCTGTAATAATATATTTAATAGTCCCATGGACAAATCAGGACATTTATGTTGGAATTAATTTAACCAAATTAGCAGCTTTTTAATTTTTAATTTTTTTTTAATTTTTATTTTTTAATTGGTGTGTCAGGAAGATAAAAGCTGTATAATGGCCCACACGTAATTATTCTTATTATTATTATTATTTAAATTTTTGTAGTTAAATTAATTAGAATTAAAAAATAAATTACCTTATCACTAGAATAAATGTAAGTAGCTCTCACAAGTCAACATGCATCACTGTCACCACACCAACCACATACAACAGACTAAAAATGTAAAAGATATTTGGGGTAGAAATAAAAAAAATATATATAGAACAATAAATTAACAAGATGAACTACTTGAGAATTTAGCAAACCCACTGAAAAATGAGCTCCAAATTCACGTTTCCTGCAAAAAGCCACTAAATTAAAATAAAAATCTGTTATGACTTAATTTAAAACATAAAATAAAATACAAATGTATAATGCACTATAGGTGTATTTAAAACTACCATGCAGATTAACAAAATGTATGGAGCTAATTAAATCATGCTTAATAAAGCAAAGTGAAAGTAATGTGGGTCTGAATCACTCCCACCAGAGGAGTGTACAAAACAGAATTCAGAAAAGTAAAAAAATAAAATTAAATGTATGTAAACAGAAAAATAAATTCACAAAATCATCTGAGCAGGCTCCTTGGTAATGACGCCAAATGAAAGCGTCTCAAAAAAGTTCACTTTAGTAAGTTTTCAAAGGCGGTTCATTTATTTTATTTTATGTTTTAACATTTATCACATAGTTTAGCAAAAGTTGTCTTGACTTTGGATTTCAAGTCAATTCAAACAATAACATTGATCTCAATAGGATCATAGTGAATGAAGGTAGTTAGTGGCTCATTACAAGGCATCCCTCTCACCAGACCATCACACAAAGTAGTTATAAATACAGAAAATGAAATTAACAAAATGATCTCTTTGGCAACTGAGATCCAAGTGAAGGTTCCTGCAAGAAACGTGAATCTTGAGATACGGTTTAATCTTTGTGTCATTATTTTATGACTTTAGCAGAAGAGATTAAAGGTGTAATAACGTGTGAAGATGATTTAGTGACATCCTAATACTTATAAGTGTTAGTCAGCCCTGAGAATTACAGGGTTTCTCTCTGTTGTATTGACTTTGTGGGGATTCACATGATGACTTGTTGTGATTAAAATAAACAGATTATTTTAATTCATACTTTTCAGATGTGTAGTTAAATTCTTCGTCTTAAATGGGAAACACTTTGGGCCAACCTCTGTTATAAATGAGCTATAATCAATAAAGGTGACTTGACTTAAAGAAAGCTTTCTTAGGGAATATATTGCCACTGAACCAGAAAGACTCAAGTTAGAGGTCACATATTCATACTGAATTTGTCGGCTTTTCAAAACCATTCAGCTGTAACCAGATTGTTCTACCTGCAGCTGTGTGTGCGCCGTATTCTAGTCCTCTTTCCAGCCCTGGTTCAAACCCATTTGGCTCACAACAACGAGCGTCACATTAGACTTTGTGTTCTACGTCGGGAACTCCGAGGGCACAGTTACGTTATCATGGGCTGTAAACCACAGCGGTACGTGTCGGACCACAGGAAGCATCTAAAAACACACTGGAGTTACGGCACCACACCGAATAAACAGGAGATCACAAGTAGCCTAGAGCTAACCGCCGGCTGAGACGTCCCAAAACCTCAGAACAAACGTTAGCCTGTGAGGAGCATCATGTCGAACGAAAGCTTATGAAAATAAACATTGATATTTTCTTAGAGGTATGACATACGGTTTATAAATAGAATAGCATTTGGGTTATTCTGATAAAGAATTACATGGATACATACATCTTACATATTTGCATAATGCTATTAAAATTGATTCAAAATGGATTTTACACAGGCCCGTCCAGGCCACGTTTGTGGGGAAACCTTTACCCACTCACTCACACACCCGCGCACACACACACACACACACACACACAACATCATAAGTATGGCTGTAACATTAGAACTCCAAAAACTACTGATACTTTACTTATAAACACATCTTGAACCAGAGCGGAGGGACTGAAATGTCAGGATCACCTGCTGGATTTGCTGGATGGAGGGACAGATTTGCACGCCGGTGGTGCTGCTGAACCTACAAGAAGCAGTTTTTTTTTGAATCACAGTTTGCTGACGAAACAAACATTTGAACTTTTAAGCGAGCGGCATCAAGGTTAAAATACTGTCAAGAAAAAAAAAAAACATTTAAATCGGCGAACCAGTGTTACCTGGAGGTTTACCTGTTTCTGATCCTTGATGTCTTGGTGATCTCATGACAGGCAGGAGACCAGACCTCAAGGAGGAAAACTACAAACCTCTGCTGTCCACTACTCTACTACAGGTAGAACGTAAGAAGCTCTGCGGCTGCTAGTGGTTCTAATTGTTTTACACACACACATGCGACATTGCACTGTTGGAACTCGAGTGGCAGCTTTTCTGTGTTGTGTACACGTGTACGACTGTGTTGCGCTACAGCTTTTGATTAATCCATAATTTTGTTTTTTTCCTCTCACCTCAAGGAATGTATGTGAACACTTAGAGTGGTTAATATTGGAGAAAAATGGGAAAAAAACAAAAAACAAACACTGATTAGGATGAAGAAGTAGCAACCTAACTGATAAACTGTATGCCGAGTGCGTCGGAAATGTCTTTGGGGTTTTGTTTTGTTTTAGTTAGTTAGTTGTTGTTTTCTTTGGTTGTCACAGTAACGAGTTGCTTGGCAGCTTTGGCAATGTCATAGGCGCACTGGATGACCTGCTGAGTGACCAGCTGGATGTCCGACGGGCAGGGGTTGTGCTCTGCGGCCTTCTGGCACTCCCCGTGGAGCCGGCTGGCGCTGGAAGTCAGCAGACACAGAGACCCTCGCACCGTCTCCGAGGACGGCCTCTGTAGGGGGGGGAGAGAAGGAGGAAGATTTGATCAGGGAGGGGAGGTGACAGCGTCCATAAATAAACACTGGTTGTGGTCAGTAGGCACATGAGCGCTGGATGTGTCTGTGACGGAACATAAAACAAAGTAATCTTATCAACGGTACGCATGAAGCCAAGTAATGCAATGAGCGCGGCCTACCCATCTAGAAAAGTCATTCTGGATTCCCTCTGGCTGTTTTCAAACAACAAATTACTCAAGGGACCAAGCTGGGAGGGTTCCTACCTTAGGGAACAGGGCGGCCATCTCCGTCACAGCCATGCAGATCTTCTCGGAGCACGGCAAGAAGCTGTGGGAGGAGGAAACACACGGCTGGATCAACCTCAGGAACAAACTGAGAACTGCAGTCAGACCTTCCTCACAATCAAGCTCAACAGGAGCAACCAGATTATTGTTCCTTGAATCATCAATAAATACCAGTGGCTCTCTGGACCCTAGCAGTTTCTGGGTGTGGATTGTTCCAGTCACATTTTTTAATCCCCCCCCACACTGTAGGCTCATTTCTCACTGCAGCATAAAAATCCTTCACCTCTATGAAAACACAACATCCATAACTGGAAGCCGAGACGACTAAAAGATGGCTTTTGTGCTCGATAACAGCTCAAATGACATAAATCTGGAAAGTTCTTTGATTATTTACTGACATACAATCAACATGGAGGTTCCAAGTGTTGACCAACAGCTGTTATAAATACTGGAAATAATGGTTACATCCTAGAAATGAGCGACCCCCAACCACCGGGCTCATTTGGCACCGAGCCGCACAAAAAGAATTAAAACGTTTTATTGGTTTATTTTTATTTCCAGCGGAGTCTGCAGGGTGTTTTATTTTGAGGAATGACTAGCTCGTCTTCCCGTCACTTCCATTTGTGCTTGTTTCCCGTCAGTTTTCATGCCTGGCTGTTAAACGAAACAAAAACTAATGTCTCAGGAGAGCTGCTTTGGAAAGTGGGCGAGACTCGATACTGAGACAGAAGAAGAAGTAAAAACATATTAAGCAATAAAAAAGTAATTTTATTTTATTATGAAACTTAACAGAAAAAAAGGATTATTTTTTTGTTATGTGCACAGTGACCAGTCGGTAGAAAATTCCTTGCTTAAAACCGGTCCGTGGTGCCAAAACGGTTGAAGGCCGCTGCTGTAGAACAGTTAAAATGACATAAATCTGAAAAAAAGTCACATTTCTTTGATTATTTATTGACATACAATCAACATGGAAGTTCCAAGAGCTGACCAATAGCTGCTACAAATACCTGAAATAATGATTACTCTACATCCTATAGATAATTTACTACAAACTCTTTTAATTTGTTTCCATACTTGTGTCCTTCCTGCAGTTCAGACCAGCTCAGCTGAGAAGTCTCAGTTTTTGTAACGTACCAGTTGGTCACAGCAAAAGGTACTAACGGCTCATTGGTTGCTCAGAGGACCACAGTATTGTTAGTTTTACACAAAAATTAGTTAATTAAAGGAAGTTTTTGGAGATGTGGTTACGTTTTCTGATGGAACGTGTTACAGATGATCAGTTCAAGAACCTTCGGAAAAGTGAAAACCCAACGATTCTTTGATTTTTAAGATTTGTGGGGCTGAAAATTTACTCCATTTTGGGGACTTTGTTAAAGGACAACCTAACCCTATCCCTGCCTTTCAATGCTGCTGGCAGTTTGACAGCTTTAACGTCTATAATGTACTGAACATTTACTTCAAATCATAATTTCTTCTTCCCTGTTCAGTGTCCTTCACACGTTTTTTCAGTAAAGCACCTCATATTCAAGGCCTTTTGTTGATGATGTGGAGCTGTACCACCCAGCATGCCTTGACTGGTCGATTATACATCTGATGGGAGCTTTAGATTAGCCATGTCTGACACGCTGCATACCTTTCATATTTCCTTGATTATGTAAAGTAAACACACGAATGGTAGGGGCGCAACATTCCAGAGAAACTGTGAATTAATCAGCTTCTGTGAAATAACAGGAGGTGAATCGACGGCATGAAATAAATGGCTTTTATTACTGTGACATTGGACAAAAAGGAAAAAAAAAAAATCATCAGCGTCAAACCTGAAAGCAGCTTCATCCCACCCCACAGGCCAATAATTAAGCTGTGAAAGCATGCGTAAAGCCAATATATCTCAAAACAATCTAATGTAGTGAGCTACTAGGACCTTATATCCCTGTAAGGCGCCTCATGTTCTTTAAGAGAGACTTGCTGGTGGTACTGAGCTCAAGGCTGAGAACACGAGGGGATTGTACGTTTGCCATCTTGGGTCCCAGAGTCTCCTTCTAGGAGTTACATCAGCAAAGTCTCTGAGGAGTTTTAAGTCACACATAAACACCTGTAAGTGTTGTTGTGTTTAGGTAGTAGGTACACTATTGCTTTATACTTGTAACGCCTCTGTTTGCTGTATTTTCTAGGGTATGTCTCCTGCTGTAATGTTTTTAGGTTTTTACTGCTCTTTTGATTTTTTTTTTTTTTTTTTAGATTTTATTTCAGTTATAAAGCCCTTTATGAAAAGTGTTATATTACTACAGTTTTACTATAGTTCACAGCATGTGATTGATACAATATTATTCATATCAACCTTTCCAGCAGGGTTGAGTAATAATGGATTACATTTCATTGGGATGATGTAATCACATTACAAATAACTAACTGTAGACATCCCAGTTTACATTAAACATGTACAACTAGATTGCAGTTACGGCTGCGGTGGTTAGCACCGTCGCCTCGAAGCAAGAAGAAGGTCGCCGGTTCGTGTCCCGGTGAGGACACCCGGGATCTTTCTACATGGAGTCTCCATGTTCTCCCTGTGCAGCGTGGGTTCTCTCCGGGTTCTCCAGCTTCCTCCCACACAGTCCAAAAACATGTTGCGCTTAACTGGTGATTCTAAATTGTCCGTAAGTGTGAATATGAGTGTACTTGGTTGTCTGTCTCTAAGTGTGGCCCTGTAATAGACTGTTGAACTGTCCAGGGTGTCCCCTGCCTTCACCCTGAGTCAGCTGGAATAGACTCCAGCCCCCCACGACCCCAGTGAGGATTAAGCGGTGCACAGATAATGGATGGATGGATTGTCGCTATGTTATCAAGGATCATTTGCTTGACTGGAAGACATTGTTCTTGTAAGTAGCATATTTTAAAAGACTAAAAATATTTACCTTCAGTTATTAATGTAAATAAAAACTAATAAAAAATCCATTATCCATAAATCCATCAGCAATAAAAATATTAGAAAGGTCAGTATTACATACGTAGACTGCCGACCTGAGACGAGTAACTTCCTGTGATAAACTCATTGAAACAGCAGCAACAAAACTAAAGAAACAGCATCCCACAGAATACACACAGTAAACCTGTGGTTTGTGCCGGTAGTGTTTTTATCAGAGTAATTTGATTTAACCAGCTGTAAATGCTAAACATGCATTGAAAATTAAATTTTAGAAAGAGAAAAAAATAATAATTGTGTAACTCAAACCTTTGTGGCTGCATCCATTTTTAGTACAAGGTGCTAGTGTCGAATGAATAAAAATTTTGTAATTAGTGGATTATAAAATTACAAAAACTGCCAAGTAATTTGTATTCAGTACGAGACTACAATTAAACGTTATCTAACTCAACCCTACTTTTTGTGTCTTGGTCATGTTTTTCCTATAGTTGCTACCTTTAATCTCTTCATATATAAAGTTTGTAAAAATCCTGTACTGTGAGGTACAGCTGAGTAACGTGTGTTTACCGTGTTTATAAATAGTAATAGAAAAGACGAAGCCCAACTAGGGGTGGAAGTAGGTGGTAGACACTGATAAATAAATATTTATGGTGAAGAAAAAGTAAGACATATCTCACACCATTATAAAAGCAAACAGAAATCAAGCTGTAATGTGTAACCATAAAAAGCCAGGGGATTAATAACACAAATGAATACATGAAACCACTAACTCACTGTGGATTTGGCAGGCCACGGGGGAAAATGTCATCATGTGGTGTTTATTTCCTGTCAGCTGCATTAACAGACACTAGACCTACCCCCAGCAGACACACGGTTTCTAGGACACGAGGACAGAAACCAGGCTGCGAGGCTCAAAAATCGGTGAATCCTGGCCTGGAGTGCTGCTGGTTTTCTGTATTATGATTAAGTGCGTTCACGCTGCAGCTCAGGTGTAAATCAGCCATGAGTTTGCTGGAAAATATGAGAGCCTGCTGTATCCAGGGCCCTGACAACGACTATTGAAAACCACTGACCTAGAAGCCACCGAGTCGCTTGTGCTCTTTAAAAGGCCATGCAGAGTGACAGAAGCACAGCCACTGTTGAAATATGTGGCCTGACAGAGGTTGATAGCAGGTCAGATAACAAGAAGAGCTTACATTTACTCAAATATTTCATGTTTTTGAAAAATAATCTGACTAATTTGACATTATATACCTTTCATGTTTGGTCTCCTGGGCAGCTCTCAGAAGCTCCTGTATGTTCTTAGTGATCTGCTCCGTCTTACAGATGACATCCTCTGTGCAAGGCAGAGTAGCGTCTTGTTCGCCCTCCTCCTCTGGTTCCACAGCTTCAGAGGCTGGAAGAGGGCTTCTACAAACACAAAGGAAAAAAAAACTGTAGGCAAAGCATTCAACCAAAAGTGATTCAAGTAACAGCTGTGGATCTTTCAACTGGATATTGATCCAGTATGACACCTGCCCAGAAAAAACACTCCAGACCTAAAGCCACCTATGGCAGCCCATGGAGGAAAAAATAAACAAGAAAAATGGCTGGTTGATGCTCCAGTTTGGAAGAAGTGAAGCTTTGCAGGCTGCGGCAGTTGTTAAACTAGTTTATTCCAGGACTAGACACAGTGGAGCAGTTCTATAAACTAAAGGCAAATTAAATACTCAAACGCTGCATCTATGATCTTCAGTGAAGCCACAGTTGTATGTGCAAATCATTTTATTTTCATGCTGAAATGTGTAAATGTTGTTTCAATATTCGTTCATCCATTATCTATACACCGCTTTATCCTCACTAAGGTTGTGGGGGGCTGGAGTCTATCCCAGATGGACAGGTCACCAGTCTATCACAGGGCTACACTTAGAGACAGACAACCAAGCACACTCACATTCACACCTACGGACAATTTAGAACCACCAATTAACCTCAGCATGTTTTTGGACTGTGGGAGGAAGCTGGAGAACCTGGAGAGAACCCACGCTGCACGGGGAGAACATGCAGACTCCACACAGAAAGATCCCGGGTGTCCTCACTGGGACGCAAACCGGCGACCTTCTAGTTGTGAGGCAACGGTGCTAACTACCGAGCCACCTTGCAGCCCTGTTTCAATATTTAAAACCCAATAAATGTCTTTTTATTCAGTATTTTTCTTTCACCCTGGTCTCGACAACCAAGTCGATTTATTAGTCTGTTTTCATGACATTTAACAACCATTTCTTGGTTTAAAAAGTCCGATGCTTGTCCAGCTGTGTGACAGAACCGAGGAGAAGTAAGATCAACAGGAAAACGTTCTGTCTGACATCTGGCAAATTTTACTTGGCATTGTGTGTCTGTGCTTTCTTTCTTGTAAGGGTGGCTTACATGTCCAAATCCTTTTCAAGGCCACGTTTTATTATCTTCGAGCAGGCAGACTGGACCAATCAAGGACTTTTTCTAAACACCTGTCAAAACTAAAATTAGTCCGACTTCCTCTTCTCTCGTCATGTGACCTACAATAACACCATCATTCACACCAGAAACAGGAAACTTTCTCCATTTTATTTAACTTTCTTCACAGGTTTATGCTTCTTCTATTTGCAACAATGTTGTAAGTTAAAGTTCTGTCAGTTTTGCACAAAAGGGTATGGACTTAACAAAACAAGTTCTTACCCAGTGTCCTCCAGTTCAGAGTGGTTAGGTGTGGTGTCGTAGTCATTCTCCAGCATGGTGCTCTGTCCCTCCAGGCTGCAGCCCTATAGGGACATCAGTGGACAACCATCATTCAAATACTTTGTACACACTGTGCATGATGAGCACAAACGTATTGTCACAGCAACGGTATGCAAATACGCATTAGAGTCATGCATTTCTGAAATCAAAGCTACGACCACACTATCAGACATCTCATTTTAAAGCAGATGAGGAGAAAAAGACAGGAAATACACAATCAGGTCATTGTGGTGTAGCGCAGTCGTACTGCAGCGGATGCGATTAGTAGATGCGAAGAAGTCCTGATGCCAGCCGAGGCCAGTTCTCTTACTAGTGGCTGTCACTAATAAGCACATTGTGAAGCATCGCTTTATCTATCTGTCATAGATATTGGACTCGGCTGTCTCATCATTCAAACGCGCTCCTTTAGTACAACATTTCAGCATAATCTCTGATGTTTACTTGAAAGAAGCTGAGGTTGTTTTCAAAACTGAGGCACTGCGGTGCATGCATGCAGGCAGGCGACACCGATACGAAGCAGTTTAAAGACACAGGTCAGGAGAGAGAACACTGTGGGGTCAAGCAGAAGGACAGTTTTCACCGCCCCCTGGGGCTGCCTCTCAGCCGAGGGGATTTCAGTACTTAACCCTTCGAGATCTCTCGTCCCACGACCAGGACAGGGAAGAGGGGAAGGTAGGGAGGGAGGAAGCAGCCGTCCCCAAAGGACCCCTACCAATCTAGAAAGGGGTCAAACCAAGTTGAGCATACTCTATTGAGATGCAATGAATGATTGAATGAATGAATGAATGAATGAATGAATGAATGAATGAAAAACCAACACCAGCCCCAAGCCAGGCATCACCATCTGGGACAATCGAGAACAGCAACATTGGTGCTTCTGTGCTTACGTTAGTCGGGAAGGGTTGTAAAACGACCCCATCGTCATGCCGAGCCGTTTCCACCCGGTGGGGGTACTGCCTGGGAGTGGAGCCCGTCTCATACATGGACATGGCGCGACCTCCGCGGGGCGGGTGTCGACCAAAGGGCCCCTGGGGGTGTTGCTGTCCGCTGGGGGCTTGCCATCGCAGTGTTGTGTTTTCAGTCTGCAGGGAGTTCAGCTGTGGAAAACAAAACATGTTTCAGTTCAACTCCAGCTGAGGGCTGATCTCCTCACAACAGCTCGGCCAGACATCAATAATAGAGTAGAACGCAGCTGAGCCTTCAGGTGAAAAGCACCTCCTCTAGGTTGAGTTCAGCTTTATCTCAGCTTTGTTTTTGGTCTCCCTTCAAGGTTTTTCTCACAACAAAGTTTTGCTTCATTGACAAATGAAATGCTGACACTGTGTGTTGATACCAAAACTTGAAGTACGACCTCCTGAGAAACTGTCACAAAAGTGGCTGCCCTTATTTACAAAAACAGAGCTTAGGAACTGAAAGAGCAGTTAGAAACATGCCTTACAGCGATTCATAGGGAATATTTGAGAAACAGTGTAGAGTGTAATAGTCAAAATGCTTTGGGAATCTGATGCTTGTAATAGAAGAAGCATCAAGGGGACAGACAGAGTAGTGCAACCAGACGAACACTAAAGCTGTATTGTCTGCAATTTGGTCCTTTGCTGTAGATAATGCGCCTGGAAATAAAGATGATTAACAGGAACCTGTACGCTTGGAACAGGCTCAATGGTTCCCAGAGGTGGGAAGTAACAAAGTACAAATACTTCATTACTGTACTGAAGTAGATTTTGCAGGTATCTGTACTTTACTTGAGTATTAATTTTTCTGACGACTTTTTGCTTCTACTTCCTACATTTGAACACAAGTATCTGGACTTTCTACTCCTTACATTCTCAAAACTGGCTCGTTACTTGTTTCAATCTCCGCGGATGACGACATGACGTAAAAGACGTAACAACAAACGTCTTTATCTTTCCCAGCAGTGTGCAATTTGTCCCTGAAGCTCAGCACACCCCTGCCTGCCTCAGCTGCATGCAAGATACTTTTTAAGCACCACAGGACTGATTTTCAGACCCAGAAGGGCCCGTCTTCATTCAGAGAACCAGCTTCTACTGAGGCTCAATAGAAGATGTTGGCAGTCTTGAAGAGATGAGTGTTCCCATGTTGATTATAATGTTTAATGTTCATAATGTTGCTGAAATGGAAAACTGTCCAGTGATGTGTTTCTCTGTAGTAGCACTGTGCAACTTCTTAAAGGATGAAAACAATCCTATTTTGTGTGCTTAATTTTTTGCGTTTTGCAGAGTTTTGCAGATCATGTATCATCAAAGCTAAAAATTCAGTTTTACTTTTGTACTTAAGTAAATTTCTGAACCTGTACTTTTTTTAAAACTTCTACTTGAGTAAAGGGGTTGAATCAGTACTTCTACTTTTACCAGATACTATTTTCACACAAGTATCTCTACTTCTACTTAAGAATGTGAGGACTTTTGCCATCTCTGCTGGTTCCACTGCGCCACCAAATTAATTTTGATGAGACAAAAGTAGTACAAGTACAAATGAACCAGCAGGAGGAGACAGTATATTGTGTTAACTCCCAGCTGACTGGAGAGAGAAAGAGACTGAGAGCTGTCGGAAACTCTGAGGTATTGAATGGAATAGTGGGTAGGTCACAAACGTTCTTGTCTTTTATTTGTATACACAATATACAGCTTTTTAAACGTGTGGTCTATCCCTCAGTTGCCACACATTATTAGGTGCACATGTATCCAGTAAAGGCAAGTAAGAACAGGTCAATGGACAAATAATTCTTCCTATTCCAGGAGGAATTATACTGTATATACTTAGTCTAAGGCACTATAGGAGGGATTAGCCTGAAATACCTTTAATTATGCCACAAAAGGACACTGAGTGAAAATGCTCTGTATTGATGTCAAAAGAACCTCAAGTAGGAATTATGTTCAACTAAAGAAACTGCTGAAAGTCATGAAAACTGTGCACAACAGCGTCTGTGTATTTTCCTGAATAACCACGATTATGTTTCCAGAAACAGTCACTGCTGTTGAGTCGAGTGTCGCAGCTGCATTGGGCTTTAGGCAAATATTAATGAAGGAGGATTTCCTCAAAACTTCAGCGAGTGAAACTGTAAAACATGCTTGTCTAAATACCTCCCGGGGCTATTGAAGACCTTTTAAAAAATACTAGGCCACAAGGAGCGGAATGAAGCAGCATGCCTGTATTCAAATTCCAGATAAAACGGTTATGAGTTGTTGTGCATTGCCAACATTTGGTCCATGCCTTCTCCAAGTGATAGGAATCCAATTCAATGACATTTCTGTTATGATAAACCCTTCAGTTCATAACTCAAGCGATTCAGCCACACCCAGACACTAATCACTGCTACATTTAAGAGGTTTATAACTGACGATTCTGCAGATTTACGAGGACGGATCATAATGTCCTCCTTAGTGGTAACCATTTGTGGTTTGGGTGTGTAGTTCTTTTGACATCTGACTCGGGATTCGACATGAATTTTCTCTCTGGTTTACATCACAAATAACTATAACATTAAATCCTGTTTTGCCTTTTCGGTGAACTGCATAGCAGAAGAGGTTTGGTGCCTGTTAATGATTGCCACAGGAATTTCAGCCCATCCGGAAACATTGCAGCTATTTTCTGAGTTCACGAGGAGGGAGCAAGCAAAGGAGAAGATATGGTTTGCTAGGTATTTTCATTGATTCATACTGGGTCAATATGCTGTCATTCAACCACATTCTCATCTATGAAGTGATAAGGAGAAAATCATTTGCTAAACATTTATTCAGAGTCGTCTCCAAACTTACTAACACCATCACAAAGAAGTCGTGAGCGAGGCTGCATTGTGTTAAAAGGAATGGCCCAATAGTTGAGTGTAAACTTTGCAAAAAGTAGTTTGCATGTCACAGCTCAACAACCAACACGGCATATCATCAAAAACTAGGAAGTCATCTGCATATTCCTCAGTAGTTTCGAAAATCATAGAAATATGGGCAAGTCAAATATGTAGTATCATCCATCCATCCATCATCTATACATCCTTTAATCCTCACTGGGGTCACAGGGGGCTGGAGTCTATCCCAGCTGACTCAGCTTGAAGGTAGGGGACACCCTGGACAGGTCACCAGTCTATCACAGGGCTACACTTAGAGACAGACAACCAAGCACACTCACATTCACACCTACGGACAATTTAGAATCACCAATTAACCTCAACATGTTTTTGGACCGTGTGGGAGGAAGCTGGAGAACCCAGAGAGAACCCATGCTGCACGGGGAGAACATGCAAACTCCACACAGAAAGATCCCGGGTGTCCTCACCGGGACGCGAACCAGCGACCTTCTTGCTGCGAGGCGACGGTGCTAACCACCGAGAGACCCTGCAGTCCCTATGTGGTATCAATTCAATAATAAATAACTAGGACAAAGTCATTTAATATGCAGCAAACACTAGCATCTTATTTTAATCATTAATTCATTTAGGCTAATAAAGCGAGCACGTAGAGTGCACTCAGCATACTGTGGACGATTCAGTTCATGTAGCGAGAGTGTGCAGATTTATATGTCCCCATGAACAACCAGATGATTTAAGAGTAGGAACAGTTTCAGCAGCCAGGAGTTTGTTTAGGTGATTACAGCCCTAGCACAAATGTCTGACACATTCTAACACACACGACTTAAACATAAATTACTGAATCACTAAAGTGGGTGAAATCAGATTATTATCTGTGGACAAGAAAGCAAGCCTTTCAAAGGGTCTAATAAAAGTATTTCTATAATTTTCTTGACTAATAATTTGAATAATGTACCGAATACAAGTACTGTTACAACCCTTGACATTTTAAAACAGTGTTTTCAAGTCAAAGGAGGCTCTGCCCACTGTTAAATACCTTTCATCCAGACAGTACAATACACAGCAAGGGGGCAAAAAAATAGGTATTATTTAGTGACGCCACAAGAAAACATACTGTTTATAATACTAATGCTGCAGACTAAGAACAATAAACATTATGAACCAGAGGATACATCAAGTGTGAAGTGACCCGTCATTAATGCATCTTGAAATATTAATGGGTACGACCATCAAATTCAGAAATCAAATGTGGAGTACAGCGCACAATATCACAAACAGTTTGCAGTAAAATCCACATTTGCCATATTGGCTGCATGTGATTTAACTAACCTTGCTCTGCATCATCCGCAGCTCTTCACTGAGGTGACAGTTGACTTTGAGGAGTTGTTGTATTTTGGCTTCTGATGCAGTGAGGGCGCTCTTCACCTCCATAAACTCCTGAACCGTGATTGGTCCATCAGACAGGTCAGAAGACTCCGAGCTCTGCAGCAAAAACATACATACATTTGATAGGAATTCCACGATCGGTGTGAAAAGTAAAGCAGGATGTTGTATTCAAATGTAACAGCAGGTTCCTAAGGACATTAACCTTGGTCCTTCCATCATTGCAGCTGTCCCCACATGTGGCCTCCTGCACCGGGTCTTCATCCGATGCCACACTGTCGTAATCTGGCTGGTCATTGTCCTGGCTCTCGCTGTTATGGCGACTGCCTATTCCCTGAAGGATCAGCTCTACATTCTCTGAAGGCAGAGCACGAGATCAAAGGATTAGAGATCAAACATGAGGGCTGGCTACAGGCAGCTGTGTAAATCAGACGGCTAAGGACCACATTTCCTTTTCATTTACTAAATCCAAAAATCAGCACTCGCTCTTCTTTATCACCCCTTGCAATTTTCCTTGAGCGTGCACAAGGAAGAAAACAGGCTGGTTCGCTGTACGTTACGAGAGACTTCTAATTAATAAGCCCCAATTCACACATGATCCACATTCATATATTCATATGACTGTTCCCAAATGGTCCACATTTGAATAAAAAAACAAAACAGACTTTCTGCTTCTCATTTGCATCATCCAATTTAGTTTTTCTCTTTTGCTTGTTTTCTGCTTTTTTAAATTATCTTCTGTGTATATGCTAATGAGCACAATTACTGCAATACAAACATTATATAACTCCCCCCAAAAGAAAAGCTAATTAGCAAGGTATGTAAGATCCAATAAAATAAAAACAGAAACAAAAAAAAAAGAGCATTTCCTACCTTTCGGACTGTCACAGGAATTCCCCCACTGCCTTCGTTTAGCATCCGTTAGAATGTCAATGACCAGGGTTGCGAATTCATGAGCACTAAACCTCGCCAGTTTTTGACGACCCTGTGGCAGCACATATATCCAAACACATGAAGGAAATTACACACCAGGATTGTTAAATACACTATTCACACACATTTCTTAGCACTTGCCTGGTTTCTCGTAGACGAGTACTCAGGATTGACTGGCAAGAAAGGCACAACCGTCGTGTCTGTTACGAGTGTGCTGTGGTTCTGAGTGGCCAACCAAACTAGAAAAAAAACCCATAAGGTGAGATACATACAAGCATAAAAAACTTTATTTAATTATCTTTTTAAACAATTCTTTTAATTCCACCTGCATCTGTTTCTCTTCTGTCAACTTCGTCATAAACATCCATGGCAAGTTCTTCAAACTGATGGTTACTTAGCTAGAACAAAACAAAGCAGAACGAGCGGTTCGGTTTTCAACTAATTTAATAGTGAGTGAATAGGAAGTTAGATTCTGGAAGTCATTAGAAACACATCATATGTAAAACGTCTTACCGACTGCAACTTCTTCTTTGCGGCTTTTGCAAATTCGGACAAATCCAGACTGCTTTGGACAAAATATTTAAATTACGTCATTCCTTCTGAAAAAAAACCACTAAGAAAGACGATGGCAAAAGCAACCAATACTCACACAAATACTTACTTATTTCTTATCCGTCCAATGCAGCACAGAAAAACAGGATTTATACTGTGAGTGTCTACCACGCTTTACAAACCATACATGATCTCCACTTTTGCAACCAAGTACAAAAATGACTACAGCTGGGAGCACAGCTATTACCTGTCGGCCATCTGTGGAATGATGAAGTGTTGCCCGTTTCTGTGATCTGCAACACAACAAGGGAATAACACAGACTCATTACCAGAGAGGACATACAAAACATCAACAGCCTAATGACAGCCAGCATCTGGGCTTGATGCATCTGCTGTGCTTACCCGGTCTTCTACCACAAAGGTAAAACGTTAACCGGTCGGTGAGCTCATACTGGATCTCCACTAGTCTCTCTGCCAGCTCCTGATGTCCAGCTTGTCTGTAAGATCAAGAATAAAAG